TCAAAACTTTTGACAAAATAAGATTTTGCGATTTGCACCACCCTGATCACCCATATGATATTATCGCACTTTAAACAGTTGAGCCTACTTTTTCATCTCTCCAAAATTCAATGAAAAATTTCCCAGGCCGCATAAACCATGCTGAATCCACCTGTTGACTAATTTTATACCAGAAAGTGGTATCGAAATACACGTATGGTCGAAATTGGTAAGATTTTGATATTCATTGCCAATGTCATCACTACCAACGTGGGCAAAGTAGGCGTCAGCGTTCCGACTTGTATATTCCATACTAATGACAAATAGCAGTGATATACGAATAGTAACCATATAAGTCGGCTATACCGACGTCGCCCTTTTTGCTTCAGTTTTGACCAATAGGCTAATTGACGAAATTTGAAAAATTGCTTAATGCCTTAATATCGATGTATACAGGATGTTTCAGAACTATGAGATCAAACTTCTAGGGGTTATTCAGTGTAACAGTAGAAAACATTTCAGTATAGGGACCCATATCCGGAAAAGTGTCACTATGGCACTAAGGCCCTAAGACGCGTTAAAATTTAGAACGACGATGAATTGCCTAAATAGGATTTAATGCATTTGATTTTTGCCTTTTGTACATGATATCATCACAACAATTGTTCAAATTGTCTTCCTCCATCCTGAATACACCGATTTAAACGTCGCACATGATTTCGGCGGACTTGACTAAAAATTTGATACTCGTTTTGATGATTTCAAATGCTGCTGTAATTCGTCCAACTAAGTCTTGCTCTGTTTCTGCTGGAGTTTCGTAAACCAAAGAGTTTACATGTCCCCACAGGAACGGTGTATTCAGGTTGGAGGAAGACATTTTGAACAATTGTCGTGATGACATCATGTAAAACAAGCAAAAATTAAATGCATTAAATCCTATTTAGGCAATTCATCGTCTTTCTAAATTTTAATGCGTCTTAGGGCCGTAATGACACTTTTCCGGATATGGCTCCCTATACTCAAATGTTTTCTACTGTTACACTGAATAGTTCTAAAACACCCTGTATAAGCCAGAAAAAACTATTTCCTTCCTAAAAATCTAACTTCTACATTATGCATTTTGCCTTTTCAAAAATCAATCTGAAAACGAACATTACTACAAAACATGCCGTTGTGTTTTGTTTGTTTTCTTTAATGAAAAATTAATCATTCGTATTATAGGTTCTGTATAGTACCTCAACGTGAAAGCAGAACTATTTGAAAAAAACTCAGTGAATGTGGTTACAACTTTCAAGGAGAGCTGATGCCTATAGTTAATTTAAATATTCAAGAATGTATTTTTGTGAGGTAAATCATGTCAAACTTTCCAACATTTTTAGTATAAAAAAATAAGTGATACTTCTGTGTCCATGGTGGTATCTTTCATCTTTCTCCCTGCATTTCATATAACTTAAGAAAGACGCCGTAAGATATAGAAATCCATAAACAATTAATGCAGATTCTACGCACTCTCGGCATTTTGAGCAATCACAAAAAGGCTTCTCAATAAGCTATACGAAATTTAACATTTAATTGCCACCGTAAATGTACGAAAACTGAATGCTTCTTAATCACCAAACAATACACGCAGCCACCACAAAAACTTAACAGAAACACCTGACCATTTTGACGAGTATCACTTGTTCATGAAGATAAATCGATATATAAAAATTATTGAATTCTAATAATGTGGGGGTGTGGACGTATATGACCGGAATTTGTACAGTGAAAAGCGTTAGCAAACAAGTTGTGTGATAGAACGGTAGACGAAGGAAGGATCAAAACGCTAGATATACAGTAAAAGGGGTAGATCTGGCAGCACTGGTGCTCGCGGAAAAGTCCAGAAGAGTCATGAACTGGAGAGACGTGTCAAATTTGACGGGTGCAGTGGAAATTTTCGCTGTGGGCCTTTACATGCCGTTTCGCCTCAGTGGACGTGCAGCTTTACAGAGCTTGAAAAACATTGTAAATGCTGCTGTATAGTAAACCAAACTAAATACATTTCATTGTAAGTTTATAGGTTGAAAAGTGCTGATAAGAAGCTTTAAAAAGAGGTATCACACAAACTCCTGTTATACTAAAAAAAATTCAAGGCCGCCCAGCTGCCAAATTGTAATTTTGAACTATTATTTTAAGATTAAAATATAGTATTCATGTATTAATTTCATTACTCCAAACTTCAGCTGGCTAGCTTAACTCGCTCAAAGACTAAGCGAGGGACCTTTTGAACAGCACTGTATAACATATACTAAGTGACATATAAATCCGAACACCCAGTTTAAATGGTTTTATTTTAATAAAATTTTGTATAAGTACTTAATGAAGCATAATAAGTAAATGATAAAAATTTCAAAATGATTGCACTGCTTTAAAGCCCTTTGACATTTAATAATGTGTGGACGCACCCTGATGTGCTACGCATTCTCCAACGCGCCTAGGCATGCTTCTGATAAGGTGGTCAATGTCCTCCTGTGGTATCTCATTCCAGGCAACCACCAACTCCTCTCGAAGTGCTTCTAGAGTCTGAGGAGGACGTTGCAAATTGAGCAATCTCCTACCCATCATATCCCACACGTGCTCAATTGGGGATAAGTCGGGAGATCTTGGTGGCCATGGTAACAATGTGACATCATTATGTTGAAAGAAGTCTATTGTGACTCTTGCAGCATGTGGTCGGGCATTATCTTGTTGGAAAGTTGGATCTGCCAGGGTGTCAAGATAGGGTCAAAGATGGGGTTCTAGAACTTCGTGGATATAACGCTGCGCGTTCATGTTACCTCTGATGAAGATTAAAGGTGACCTGGAACCATAAGCTATAGCACCCCAAACCATAACTACAACTGTGTGATGAACATGTCTTTCAACAAAAAACTGTGGATTCCTCCTTTCACCACGTCGCCTTCTAACCCTGGCACGACCATCGTGCATGCCTAAACAAAATCGAGACTCGTCACTAAAGACAATACTGTTCCATTCCTGATCCCAGAGTGACCGTTGTCTGCACCACTCAAGGCGATTACGTCGGTGTTCTCGAGTTAAAGGGAGGACCCAGTGTGGCAGGTATGAAAACAAGCCAAAACTTCTCATTCGTCGGTAAACACTTCGCATGCCAATAGGTCTTCCGTGTTATGCAAACCATTCATTTGCAATGGACCTAGTAGTGAAGAAACGGTCCCTTAAGGCCAATAATCTTAGGCGGCGATCTTCACGGTCTGTTGTTCTACGGCAGCGTCCAGTGCCCCTTGCTCTTTGCGTACGGCCTTCTCGAAGCCATGCCTGACGACACCTAACCACAGTGTCTACACTTCTCTGCACTCTAACTGCAATTGCCCGAAAAGAAAGTCCAGCTTCCCGAAGTCCCACTATACGGCCCCTATCAAACTCACCAAGTTGACGAAATCGTACAGGTCTCCGTACTCTAGGCATCGTAACCGATAGTAAAGGATGTCAAGAACCAAAATCCGCCAACGTTGATTCTTTACTGCGGCTGAAATATTCATTTTTAGAGCGTTAGTGAATAAAAAAAAGCAGTATAAAAACCGGAATGTCCAACTGATAAGGCTGAAAATTTTTTCACTTGTTATTTACAGTAAGATAAATACATTCATCAACTTTTATTAAAATAAAACCATTTAAACTGGGTGTTCGGATTTATATGTCGCTTTGTATAATATAATAAATAAGTTTAACAATTTAAGGACTCCTTTGTCTGGCTGCTAAATGAGAATATATTTTATTTATCTGTCTTACAGGTAAAGTTTCATTTATTTTGTCTTTTCTGTAATACTACATATACAGTGTGTTGCGCCAACAGCCCGGATGATCCAGTGCCACAAGCGAGCAAGGGGTTATCTGTCGTTTTTTCCGAGAATGCTGAAACCTAACCACAACTGTTGCCGAAACACACCTGCAGGGGTATTATGTAAAAAACCGATATGTTACTTGAAAACGGTAGAATGTCAACTTGTTTACTAAGTAGTCGCTAGCCGATTGATCACCTACTCGCTATGAGTGCCACCTACGGAGGAATAAAACAACGAGCGCCATTCATGGACCAGAGATACTATGAATGCCCCACTAGTCCCATCACTGAAACAGATGTTACAACACCCAAAGCTAAACCATACAGCTCAAGTGTTACTACGTTTAGGCAACACGCACAGCTACAAGTGAACGAGAAGTGAATGACAGGTAGCTTCAAGGTGACATTTTTTCGAATAACTTACATAATGTCATTAAAAATCGATATAATGTTGCGTAATGAGGGTGCCGTTGATTACGAGGGACGTCTTTTAAGTTTTGCATATAGAAAAATAGTAGGCCGCGCGGATCGAACGCCAGTACTGAATCTCAACCTCACTCTTTAGTAAACTTAAATTCAAAGTTTCACAACAATACGTACAGTGTTCTCACCACAGTGAAGTTTTAAGTGCCACCAAGTCATTAGAAAAATGGAACTCAACCGAGAACATTTTCGCGCCATAATTTATTACAACTTTCAGGGTCAATTATCGCAACAAAACTGCCTTGCTGAGTTACTGTCTGTTTTCGGCAACGAAGCGCCACGTCAGTCGACAATTTCCCGTTGGTATGGAGAATTCAAACGTGGATGGGTGAGTCTTAGCGACGATCCCAGGGTGGGTGCACCAAAAACGGCAGTCACCCAGGAAAACGATGATGCTGTGCGCAAACTCATCATTAAATATAGACATATGACATCGCGAGATTGAGGCGTCCTTGAAGAGCTCAAAGACCTCAATTCAAAAAATCTTACATGAAGAATTAGGAGTAAGAAAATAAGTTTCTCGTTGGATACCCACCTGTTAACTGAAGAGCAAAAAGCAGGCAGGGTTAATTGGTGTCAAAAAACGTTTGACCGTTTCAATTCTGGAAACTCAAAAAATGTGTCCAGCATTGTTAGTGGTGATGAACCGTGGATTTACTGTTATGAACTTGAAGATAAACGACAGTCGACTGTTTGGGTGTTCAAAGGTGAAGAAAAGCTAACAAAAGTCATCCGTTCTCGAAGTGTTTCGAAAAAGATGGTCGCGACATTTGTGTCAAAAGCGGGTCATATTGCAACAATTCCTCTTAATGAGCAGAGAACTGTTACTGCGGATTGGTATTTGTTTGCCAAAAGTCATCACCGAGCTTCGAAAAATCAACCCCGAAAGAAGAATCATCCTCCACCAAGACAATGCAAGCTCGCACACAGACAAAAAAACAAGGCAGTATTTAACGGAAGAAAACGTGGAATTATTGGACCATCCTCCATATAGTCCCGATCTAAGTCCTAACGATTTTTTTATTTTCCCGAAAATTAAAAACAGACTGCGTTCCAGTCACCAGAAGAAGCAGTTGACGGATTCAAAAATGCCGTTTTGGATCTGCCAGCAAACGAGTGGAATAAGTGCTTCGAAAATTGGTTCGAGCGCATGCAGATGTGGAGAATACTCAGAAAAACAATAAAGTCATTTAAAACTATCTACCGTGTTGTTTTATTTCCATATGCAAAACTTAAAAGACATCCCTCGTATTATGCAGTATTCGACTACTAATGTGGCATATACATTGTTAATGGAAACGCGAGAAATAGATCTATGTCCATGCAACATTAGTAGACAAATACCGCATAACAGACAGCCAGTATGTTGTGACGATAGTTTTGGTTGCGTTTTCGCTTTCTCGGTACCGTAGTAGAATTATAATGATGACTTCGCGCGATCTCGGAATGGTACACGACAGTTCAGGCTGTTGTTGCAACACTCAACACACTGTATACCAATGAAGAAAAGAAAACATCAATCAACTGCCGCCTGAAAAACACATAAATACAATATATTGTCATTAATTGTTGTCATTGTACTTGAAAAAAGCCACCATGGTGGCCGAGACGTCGTCCAGTAAATCGTTATTCAAACATGTTTGGTTTGATTTAGCTACCACACAATGGAGTCATATAAACATGAAAACCACAGGACAAGTTTCAGGTTATTATATTATAGCAATTTTGTAGGAAGTGGATCCTGCAATCAACTGGAAATTTATCATATTAATTGCTATTGCTGCATTTAACACGATACTGTTCTGTCATTGTGGGCAGATCTCAATCGACGAGGTACTATTTCATCAGAATAGCATTCATAATGGTCTAATCCTATTAGACAAAATTAACCCTGGTTTGCTAAATAATTGTAAATTCTGGTTTTATTGATGCAAATTGTTCACGGGAGATATTTAAAGCATGGATGCATAAAATGGGTACACCAGTTTTTATGGGAAAACTTTTTATTAGACACCAAATAATGAAAAAACCGTTTTTTTTTTGACTCAATCGAAAGTGTTGTCAGGAACAAAAAACTCTTCAAATAAGCTTTTTAGGTATTTATGAGACCGACAGAAAGAGACATCACGTAGAAATATACCACTAAGTAGCAATTTCACCACAATCACAACAAAACTGGAGCCGATCGGTCAAGTAGTTTTTGAGAATTTCTAATTGTTTATTCCAAAACACATGTCTTTCGGCCATCACTACTAGTTTACTGAGCAATATACAGGGTTCGTAACAAACGGCATTTTATAGCGAAATACACGAACTGACCTTGTCGACATAAATCACAAACCATTCCGAAAGATAATTGATGTTTTTATGCGAAAAACGAAGGGTTACGCTTTTTTCTTTTAAACAAATTCAAACATTTCGTATATGTGAGTAACAGACCAGATTCGCTATGACATTCGTAAAACGTTATTATACACATCTTAAAGCAAATCGGATGTGTCTATCACCTTTTGTTACGAAGAAAACAATTTGTTTATAAAGTTAGCACGCAAACTGAAGACACAATTATGTTAAAACAAAAAAACAGTAGAGAAATATCAACCAATTGTAGCGAACTGACCATCTTAAAAATTAGAAAAAATGCTCGTTAATACATTATTTAAAGATTCAGCATTGTATCTTGTATAGTTTTGAAGAGCAGTCTAATTGTTTATATCAGATTTGAAATGTCTGCAACGTCCGCTTGACATTTTTCAGTGTCAAGTATAGGCGTCGTAGCGTAATGGGAATGGTATATTATGAGTACTCGTCATTATTGCAGAACCGCAGGACTAAGGTTCGAATCCACGAAGCTCTTTTTATCTCTATTATATTTTTTTTTTTTGAATTGGAGAAATAAATGCTTTTTCACATTATGTGTACTTTTATTGCTATCATAGACAATATAAGCTTGCAAACAGGAAACCAGGGGTATACGTATGATAGTTTATACTTTTTTTATATTACTTTGATAGAATTTCCGAAACATTATGTCGGATCATAGCAGATAATTTTTGAAGTGTAAATTATTAACCAACAATAATGAAAAACATCCCAAATTTTGTTTATGATAATACGCTCAAGTTTTCGAACGCGGTCAAATTATGTACCTCTTGGAGCCGAAGAGGATGCTTATAAAATTAAGTGAGCTAACAAACAGTTTTTGTATTAATCAAGTTACTGTTGAGCGTAGATGCTCATTTCATCAACAGTGTAGACACTTTTATGCATAGTTTGTATTTCTGTATTATGGCAGTGCAACGCAAAGGTAATCTCCCTTTTCGGGAGTAATGGGAAAGAGGATGCCCTAACACAACGTGACAGTTAAATATACAAAAAATCGGAAATTAAGCAATTTCAATTATATCTCAAAGTATGACATAACCTTTTTAGCAACTAAATTTTTTATTGTTATGCTTAGAATAAAACTATATGAAAGATTTATTGACATTTAGTATTTATTAACCACAGCAACCATAATGCTGCTTATTTTTATCGTATTTTATCTGTACATTGTGTTTCACCACTAACTTCAGGTAATTAACTTGTACTGCATCAAACAAGCTTTCAATAGCGAAAGGTGAATATAGACATTTTACCGATAAGTCTCTCTCAGATAATAAATAATAGAAGTGCACATATTGTGAAAAAATATTTATTTCTCCAAATTTGGAAAAAAATAATAGAGAAAAAGGAGCTTCGTGGATTCGAACCTTCGTTCTGCGGTTCTGCAATTGTCAACCATTCCCATTACGCTACGACGCCTCTTGGCTCACTGGATCCTTATACTGCTATACTTGACACTGACAAATGACAAGCGAACGTTGGAGCCATATCAAATCTGATATAAACAATTACACTACTCTTGAAAAGTATACAAGATACAATGCTGAATCTTTAAATAATGAATTAGGGACTAATAACGAGCATTTTGCCTAACTTTGCAGACGGTCAGTTCGCTACAATTGACTGATATTTCTCTACTGTTTTTTCGTTTTCTGGAGTTTATTTTCCAACATTTTGAAGTCGCAGTCATTTTAATCGGACTAGATTTCAAAAACAGACACATACTATATTAATACTTTTAGAAAAAAGTCTACAGAATTATATTTCTTAGTAAAGAAACTGGATTACGTGACCTACTTATTTGACAAAGGCATGCAGTCATCAATAATGCAGCCATTTAGCACATGCTACGTACTAACTAGTCTAAGACAGTTTGCAACATAAGTGTGACTTCAGTTTACGTGCTAACTTTATAAACAGATCAGTGCATTTCAGTATGGAATATTTTTCTTATAAACCTCAGGGCTCATCTGTGACCATGTAAAAACTTCAGCTCTACATATCGTCGGTGATAGACATATCCGATTTGCTTTAAGATGTGTATAATAATGTATGTTTCACGAATATCGTAGCGGATCTGTTCAGTTACTCACATGTACGAAATGTTTGAATTTGTTTGGAAAAAAAACGTAACCGTTCGTTTTTCGCAATAAAATAATAATTATCTTTCGGAATGGTCTGTGATTCACATCGGCAAGGTACATTCGTGTATTTTACTTTAAAATGCTCTCTGAGCGAACCGTGCATATTGCTCAGTAAACTAGTAGTGATAGCCGTAAGACAGGTGCTTTGGGATAAGCAATCAGAAATTCTCAAAAATTACTTGACCCATCGACTCCAATTTGGTTGTGGTTATTTAGAAGTATGAAGCCTACGGATTTGAATAATTTCAAGTAGCTGAGTGAAAGTATCGTCGCATTAGCAACAAGTGCCAAAACCTGCATTTTGCCTCGGTTTTCGGCCATAGCTTTTTTACTGTTAGTCGGATCTTTTTACGTGTGTTATCATTCTGTAGGCCTCATAAATACCTAAAAATCTTATTTGAATAGTTTTTGGGTTCCCGATAACTTTCGATTGGATCCCAAAAAACACGTTTTCTCATACTTTATTGTGGAATAAAAAGATTTCCCACAAATATTGGTGTATCCATTTTATGCGCCCATATTACAAATACCCCCTTTAACAACTTGCATCAATAAAACCTGACTTTAAAATTATTTCGGGGAAATTTGCTAAGATAATAATTAGACTATAACAGAAAAGTGGTATCAAGTATGTGCACTACCCACGCAACGCTGTCATCAGTCCATAAAGGATTATGTTCAGCACAAGATAGCCTTTCTCTGGAAAACATGTATAACATAGAAATCAAACGGATCAAGTCAGCTAAACAGGCCCATACAGTTAGTCCATAGACACTTTTTCCTGCACTACCGACAGGGCTGGCCATCTGGCAACTTGCTGTGACTCACTTCACTCCTCGCCCATACCGTACTGTTAACTGGAACCACTCGTCAGGCTTGTCAGTCGAGTTAGCAGGGTACGACACTTATCGTTGAGACCGCAAGGCAGAGGTAGCCAAGGACCTGAGACGCAAATTAAACTAGATCTCTATCATTTTAAGTTCTGCGGACAAATGTACGGGGAAATCTATAATGTGTGGAGTACACCTAATAGGTGCGTTGAATTACCGGGGTTGTAAGTGTATAAATACACTACCGCCAAACAATTGACCGATACCCTCCCCACCTAATACAACCCCCAACCACCTGTTTTTGAAAATTTGTTTTTCTGAACACGATCAGGAGCCTCTGAAATATCAAATAGAAATTTTCAGAATTATTACTTCTCCAATATTTACCTCCGTAAAAAATATTTTGACAGGCATGGCTATGCATTGTTCTTGATACTGCGGAAGATCTGTTCAAACTGACGACTTTTTGATATTTTTTAGGCCGAAACGTTCCATGATAAATTGTGTTCCTTGCCTTGGGAGACTTGGAACGTAAAAAACCAGAAAATGTTGTTGATCATGTTACCAAGAACAATGAAACCTATAGAAATCAATCTTGCTGGCATTGCCACGCTTAACTACCAGTTTCTCCAAACAGTAAGTGAACTTTTTTTTGAACTGAACTGACCTAGAAAGCTTATAAAACAAACATTACAACCATCAACCTTTTCTCTAATGCAAACAAATAGTTAATAATCAAGTTTTTTAAATTCATTAATATTTAATCATATGGCGTGATTACAAGGATGCATTCCTGAATCAAATTCAAGTACAAAAGTTCAGTTTAG